TAATATACTATAAATAATTTTTTTTAATCAAAAATATATTAATTTTTATAAATTTATTTATTAATATATATATATATATACTTATTATTTTTTTTATTGTTTTTAATTTAAACTATACTAAGTAAGATCAATAGATATCTATATTAATATAAATATTTAATTAATTTATAGATATATATTAATTTTGAATCAAAAATTTGGGGATGTATAAATCGGTAAGGATCTCCTATTTTTTAATATTTATATATTTATCTAATGTTCCATTAAAAAATAATGCCAAATATATAAATATTTAATTAATTAATATATATATATATCAAACAATTATAATATTAACCCTATTAAATTAAATTATTTATATTAAATTCCACCCTTATATATTTATATATATAGTATATTTAATAATTATGTAATATTTAATATTTTAAATTATGAAATTTATAATTATATATAAATAAATCTATTTATATAAATATATTAATTTAATATATAGTTATATATATAGGAAAAATAAAATTATCTGTTAAATATTTTTATTTTTAAAAAATAAAAATTGAAATTAAAATAAAATTACATATAAATAATATTTATTAAGTATAAAAAAATAAAAAATTTAAAAATACATATTAATTTTTAAATAATAATTAATTTTCCATTTAAAATTTAAATAAAAAAATTTTAAATATTAATTAATATACTATAAATAATTTTTTTTAATCAAAAATATATTAATTTTTATAAATTTATTTATTAATATATATATACTTATTATTTTTTTTATTGTTTTTAATTTAAACTATACTAGGTTAGATCAATAAATATCTATATTAATATAAATATTTAATTAATTTATAGATATATATTAATTTTGAATCAAAAATTTGGGGATGTATAAATCGGTAAGGATCTCCTATTTTTTAATATTTATATATTTATCTAATGTTCCATTAAAAAACATTGCCAAATATATAAATATTTAATTAATTAATATATATATATCAAACAATTATAATATTAACCCTATTAAATTAAATTATTTATATTAAATTCCACCCTTATATATTTATATATATAGTATATTTAATAATTATGTAATATTTAATATTTTAAATTATGAAATTTATAATTATATATAAATAAATCTATTTATATAAATATATTAATTTAATATATAGTTATATATATAGGAAAAATAAAATTATCTGTAAATATTTTTATTTTTAAAAAATAAAAATTGAAATTAAAATAAAATTACATATAAATAATATTTATTAAGTATAAAAAAATAAAAAATTTAAAAATACATATTAATTTTTAAATAATAATTAATTTTCCATTTAAAATTTAAATAAAAAAATTTTAAATATTAATTAATATACTATAAATAATTTTTTTTAATCAAAAATATATTAATTTTTATAAATTTATTTATTAATATATATATATATATACTTATTATTTTTTTTATTGTTTTTAATTTAAACTATACTAAGTTAGATCTAATAAATATCTATATTAATATAAATATTTAATTAATTAATAGATATATATTAATTTTGAATAAAAAATTTAGGAATGTATAAATCGGTAAGGATCTCCTATTTTTTAATATTTATATATTTATCTAATGTTCCATTAAAAAATATTGCCAAATATATAAATATTTAATTAATTAATATATATATATCAAACAATTATTATATTAACCCTATTAAATTAAATCATTTATATTAAATTCCACCCTTACATATTTATATATATAGTATATTTAATAATTATGTAATATTTAATATTTTAAATTATGAAATTTATAATTATATATAAATAAATCTATCTATATAAATATATTAATTTAATATATAATTATATATATAGGAAAAATAAAATTATCCATAAATATTTTTATTTTTAAAAAATAAAAATATATATGAAACTTCACTAATTTAACATATTTTAATTTTCCATTCGCATCTTACTAGAACTTTTATTTGGTATTTGTCAAACAAGCATACTGTACGCCTGTGTATGAAAGAAGTTTCTAAAATTTCCCATTTCTTTACAACCTTTTTTTAGAACACTTTCTTTTTCTTCGAAGTTCTGTGCAATGAATAACATTAGTGCCAAACTCTCTAATACTCTGGTACAAGTACTAGTACCCAGCAAAAACTGCAACAAAAACACAAACACTGAAACTAATTCAGTCTTGTTAGCACACATATACGACTTCATACCGTACAGAACGTGTATGTTAATAAGGATGGTTTCTATGGAAGGATTGCCATTATTAGAGAAAGCAACAGCACCACTTTTCCTTGTGCATTTCGTCTCAGCTGCAGTGTACAAAAGTATTTCTCACTCTTATAATGATTATTCTCCTGGCAATTCCTGCCTGGCATGCCGTATTCCGTATTCCGTATTCCGTATTCTGAATTTTGCCAACATATGGAATTGTGGAAAAGTTCAAAATTTATTTGAGGTTTACACAATTCAGAATTCTTCTGCTTGTTGTCTTCTGGCTGCAAGTTTTCTTTCAACATATTTGCTATTTTAGTTTCATGGACCTTTATTGTTTTTATCCATTTGATGTTATTTACTTTATTGCCCTGAATGTTGTCTTTCTTATATGTTTTTTTTTTGGTATATTTCTGTATACTTTTGCTATTTGTTTCATTATATTCAATATATTTAAGTTGGAGAACTGCTCTCTTCTGTTTTCGTTTTTATTAAAGTTTTTGGCTGGTTGCTTGTGACTGTCATTTAGTTTTGTGGCCCCAATAGATTGACAGATAAATTTTATATCTCCACAGGTAGTTCATGCGGCTGGTCAGCACACATGACATAGACATTTACATGTTCAGTTATAGACACTGTAACTTACATGAAGACAGCTGCAAACACACAAATCAAACACTAATAGGGACTTTAACATAAAAGGTTCAATTCAAATTCACATATCCAAACGTCAATCAATTCGTACAGCAAGTTCGGATTGAAGCCATAGATTTTAATGGAATTGTTAATTTTAACGAAAACGAAAACACTTTATACCATATAACTATAAGTGTATATATGTATATATATGTATGTATATATATATATATACATCTATATGTGTATATATATATCATATATGTACATTCTACAAACATCTATAGATTTATATGCATTAATAAACATTTGAGCTGATTAGTTTGTGCTCGTTGGTAAAGTTGGTAAGGTTGGCAAAGTAAACCGAATTGTTAAAAATGCAAATCGATTTGGGAAATTGTCAATTTAACCGTAAATATCTCATTGTGAAGGTATCAAAGCAAACTGAATTGTTTAAATGCAGTGGTGCAAAATATCGTGTACTCACCAATATAATTTATAATTGGGTATTTGTAGTTCATATACATGCAAATGATTAAGTTTCATATAAATATTTAGTTAAGATTTGGTTAGAAAATGTATGTATCAATGTTTAATTGACAAGAATTCTCATTTAATCATACATGACAATATGTATTCACATATATCATAACGAGTTTTGTCAAATTTTGACACATTACAAAATTGTAGATATTCATCTGTAGGTATTAAATTTCAATCCAATTAAAAAAATTATTTGGAATACAAATTATTAGTGCAATTAATTCTAATGAGCTATCAAAATTCTAAGAGAAATAGTATACATTATAAATATATATATGAGATACTACAAAGCTTAATGCTTTAATGCTTTAATGCTTTCTATATATGAAATATTGAAAATGTTAACTTAATTACATCAAATTAATTTACAGTCTTATAATAATGTAATATAAGACACTTTGTGTCTTATAATACACACTCAACCTATTGCAGATAGAAATAAACCAAAACAGGAGGTAAAATTTTTGGGTATAATCTTTGAACAAAAACTACTTGAAAATCCCATATCCAAGAAATGACAAAAATGGTTACCAAAGCCTTTATGACATGCAGTTCCATCATAGCTAAGAATTAATCACCTACGGATCAATAGTCTGTGAGAACTGTACAAAACAGCAGAACGTTATCTGCACAATCAACAAGCTGCAAAGGTTAGCGTGTTTAAGTGTAACGGGAGCAATGCAAACATGTCCTACGTCGTCAATTGAAGTATTACTAGAACTCACACCTCTTCATATCCATGTATAATTACAGGCGAAGAGTGTTGCTCAAAGAGTAATTACAAACAAGATAACGATTCATAGGCTTAATAGTGAGAAACTTGATAGTCTTGCTAAACAAATCCCAAAAACTAAAGTGCTAACAGGCAGAATGTTTGTAAAGTAAAAGTTTACAAAAAACTTCAAAACTAAACCTGGTAACAAAAAGCATTGGGAAGGCTTGTCTAAAATCCAAATAATAAGGGAAAACATGATAACATGGTATACACACAGCTTTCTCACCAGTGAAGGAACTGGAGCTGGTGTATATGGACTAGCCAAAAGAAGCACTGGAAACACTGGGAAGAAACGTAACCATCTTTCAAGTGAAAATATACGCTATAGACAGATGCGCCATCTTCAACCTTGAACACAACTACCGGAACCGTAAAATTGCAATACAAACTGACAGCCAGACAGCTAAAATGGCTCTTACATCCTATCACGTGACATCCCAACTAGTATGGGAGTGCATTGATAAGCTGAATATACTGAGCGGGAACAATTAAGGTACCTTCAAAGCAATAAAATGGCAGATAAATTCGTAAGTAAGCTTTAATAATGATAAGCCCAGAATCTTTCTGCGGTGTAGACAAAGGAACACCATCCATTCTTTTGAACGGCGCAGAGAAGAAAGAAAAACAACTATATTGGGAAAATCTACCTAGACTATCACATTCTAAAATGCTTTTAGAGACTTACAAGTTAAAATGCTTCAAGGATTACATAGAACACACAAGGAATAACCTAAGAAGTATTACGTTAGAAATTCAATTCAAATCAGAATGCAGATACCGGAGAGAAGAGAAGAGAAACCGCATATCATGTACTAGGAAACTATCCAGCAGTGACGCACAAGCGAAAGAAACACCTAGTAGGGTATTTATGGAACATAGGGATTCATGAGTAGAGAAGATATGCCATACACAGTCTTTGATTAAAGAAAAGACTTGGAGAAACAGCTTAATCTGACTAAGGGGCACAATAGATCTTTCAGCTCGCAGTATACTATCTCCCTCTTTTCATAATAATAATAATTATGCTCTTTATGCGGAAAAGATGTCTTCGGAATCTTTAATACGTTGTAACACAATTTTTAATACAGAAATAATCTGAACTTCGGCTACATGAAAAACAGAGTACAGAGATTGTTTTATAAGAGACAATAAGACAACAACCGCAGAGGATGCATTTAACATGACTAGAACAGGCCAAAAAATTCTTATAATTGAGAACACTTACTTATTAATATTGCCTGTAATTCTCGCTCCAGTATTCAGCTCCAAATGAATAATAAGATCGAGCGATTAAGTATAAAGTAACGAAAATCTATTTAAAAGTAGAGGCAATATTTGGTCGTGTCAAGCACTTCAAGTTTGTTAAAGGTGTAAGGTAGACAAAAATGTTCCACCAGGTAACCTATTACCTGAACAGTTGCTTCATTTCATAAAACTAAAAATAATTTCTGACTTAGGCTACGTAATGTCATTATAGCTGCTTTCTTTTGTCAATGTAATGAAATACTCACAACACACAGATTCTTTAAACTCTTCTTAAGTATTGTAGACCCATATTCCAAATTAATGAAAACTGGAAAATTTAGATCACTATACCCACATCATCTTTATTAAACCAAGCTTAATAATTTAAAAGTGCTATAGTTTAAAAATCCTGAGCACATACAAGCACGTATTGAATTAAAGCTCAACGCTTCAAAAAAAAATCTGCATCGACATACAACGCAGTGAAAAAATCACTCAAAATAATCAATTTTATCAGAATCTGTCGTCAAATCGACATCAAATCGAAGCACCCCTGAAACTGTAATTCTGCTCGTATTTCTTTGTTTGTAATACATATATCCATAGTCAATACAATTATTGATACATATTCGACAAGCATGCGGGGTTATATCAAAATTAGTTAGAAATAAAAATAAAAATAAAAATTTTTCTTAACTCATCAAATATCAACTCAGTTACTACATTCGTTTCCATAATTAGACTGCCAAAGTACATTGTCAATTGGATTATCTTCTGCATAGCGCATATTATTGAACTTTATAATGCCAAAACGCTCAAAACTCGGTGAGTAAATGAATTTTTCAATACTATATATTATGTACAGTTAATGGCTTCTAAATATATATTTGTAGACTGGTATTATATGTAAACATTTTTTAATTGCAAACTGGGGTGATTTGAAAGTTTTGCATATATATTCTTCCTTTTTCGATTTTACAAGTTTATTTAAAAACAAACTTACTTTTATTTCAGCAATAAAGAGTAAATGCACCACTAAAGGTGGTCCATGTAGCGCAACTTTCCCTGATCAAAAGTCCAAGAGCTTTCTACCGGGACTCATCAATTCTGCCGAACGCCGTCATTTTCTTCATGACATGGTGAAAACCTTCCCCAAGGCGATTCAAAATCGCATCACTGTTTTGAAGAATGCTCAAATTGATCAAAGTGCAATAGACTCTGAATTCTACAAGGAAATTAATGACTTAGAGGTAAAGCACGCTGCCAAGTGTCAACAGTTTTATAATAAGAGATTTGAAATAATTTCTGGTAAGATTGATCCACCAAAGCAAGAGGTAAAATGGAAAGTAGCCGCAGATGATGAAAATAAAAAGAATAATTATAACTTTGAGGAACAGTTGAAGGAATACAAAAAATTGTCTGGTGATGCTATCGGCATACCCAATTTTTGGCTAACAGTAATGCGCAATGTGAGTGCGCTTGCTCATTTAATAGAGGAATATGACGAGCCACTCCTTAGAAAACTAATTGATATAAGAGAAAAGTGCAATGAAACAAATGGTTTTACTCTTGAATTCCATTTTGAAAAAAATGATTACTTTACTAATGAGGTTCTCACTAAAAAATACAATTTGACTTTTGACCCTGACGAAAAAATGCCATTTCATCATAGTGGGCCTCGTATTTGCAATAGTCAAGGTTGCGTGATTAATTGGAGGAAAGACATGAATCTAACGTTAGAAACAGTTAAGGGAATCTCTAGAGATGATACAAATGAAATTGTTTCTATGACTGTTCCACGCCCGTCTTTTTTTAAGTTTTTTAATCCAGCGGAATCTATAAAAAATGACATGGGAGCGTCCCTAATAATTGATCATAATTTTGGGCTTTTATTTCACTCACGTGTTATACCTAAAGCTGTTTTGTACTTCACCGGTGAAATGCCTGAATTTGATCCGCATTCAAGTGATGAAGATGAGTTGGAAAATGAAGACTTAGATAATTCTGATGATTGGGACAAATGTGATAAGTTAGCTAACTCAAATGTTTCCCATGATTCCGATAATTCCGATAATTTAAATGAAGAGGGCGCTTCTAAGGCTGCATCTCCTACTGTTGTCGATGGTGCAGATGTTGTTGGTGACTCGACTCATTAGTGGACCATAAATGTAATTCGGAGTGACATTTGCTAAACATTTAATTAACATATAACTCAAGTACTTAATTCTATTAATTTGCATTTGCAAATTTCAATAAAATTCGAGTGCATCTATCTTGCGTTTTATTTTTTTTATAAAAAAATATGTATTAATAAATGAATATAAATTAAATGAATAACATTACTGAGTATCTACGTACTAAAATTGTACATTTGTTGATGAAATGTAACGTTATATATAGAAGATGTGACTTATAAGTGTCAAAACGTTTATAGTGAAAACCTTTAAAGCATATTGCAATATATTTTCCTGTTCGGAATGATAAAATTGTGTTAAAAAGTGTGGTGTATATTCAGTATTTTGCTAGAAATATTATCCACAAAGTCGCTACAAGGCCATAAGATTAAAACTGAAACGAATTTTGTGAATTCATTTACACCTTAACCAGTTCACATTTGTGTGGTATTATGTGTGTTACTTTAGAATAATAAAAAGACTTCTATAATCTACAATGACGATAATCCCTGCGACTTGAAAGACTACTTTTCTAGAGAAGCTGCCAATATTATGCAATGTAACAACCATATAAGTACCAAGGAAGTATTCTCTCTCTTGTGTATACAATAAGGTCACAATAAGTACACACATTCTTGAAACACTAACCTAGCCATACAAGTGCGAATTCTAAGTTATCGAAAAATGACACACTAGGTACCCAAAATCGAGAAAACTTAGCGCAAAGTGCTCACATGATTCCTATTCAATCGATTCATGGTTTAATTAGACTGCGCACATATAAGAACTTATTGATTTACAGCTTAATATCATAAGAATGAAGCTATATCGACATAAATTGCAGACCGCACCATATGGTCATAAGTCCTCCCAGAAATTGTAATCATACTGGATCTTATCGCTTCTTATACATATATCAATAGTTAGTATAATTTTTGATGCATATTTGACAAGCATGCGAGATTGTGTCAAAATTAGTTAGAAATGAAAATAAAAATTTTTCTTCAGTTGTCGATACCAAATTAACAACTAACATACATTCGTCTTCATAATTCTACCGCTGTAATACACCTGAGTACACATCACCTGAGTTTCTTTCTTTACGGCGGATATTGTGAATTTTATCATGGCAGATTCCTCAAACTCAAATATGGGTGAGTAAATATTTTTTTCAATGTTGTGTGATGAGAGATAGAGAGATGTGAGTATTTGTGAGGTTATATATAAAGGGCGGCGTTAAGGTACATTTGAACTTTTGTGATACTAGCGGATTATCTGGTTAGTGTACCATAAATATGATTGAATTTACTAAAAATCTTCAAAAAATTTATATTTTACATTTATTTGATTAGTTTTAAAAATTTTTGCTAATCCCGGTTTTATGTGTTATGAAATATTTTATTATAGTAAAAAGTGTATATTTTTTTAGTCGCGAAATTGGTTTCTTTAAGAGTCATGCATTTATATTCTTCTTATGATTTGATTTCGTATTAAAAAATAAATTTCTTTTTATTTCAGACAATGTGGTCAAATCATCCACTGAAAGTGGTTCAAGTAGTGAAGCATCCACTTTCACTGATGAAAAGGCTGATAAAAAGGTCAAAAAGTTTCAACCCGCTCTATTAGACGCTGCTAAACGTCGTCATTTTCTTCATGAGATGGTGAAAAGCTTCCCGCAATCAATAAAAGACCGTATAACAGTTTTGAAGAATATTCAGTTAGAACAAATTGCGATTGATTCTGAATTCTACAAGGAACTTATTAACTTAGATATTAAGTACGCTGCTAAATATAAGAAGTTTTACGATCAGAGATGTAAAATAATTTCTGGTAAGTTTGATCCACCAAAGCAAGTGGCCAACTGGAAGGGAGCCGTATTTGTTGAAAATGCAAAAGGCGACTATAAATTTGATGATGTTTTGAAGGAATACAAGAAAATATCAAATAACACTATCGGCATACCCTTTTTTTGGCTCACTGTGTTGCGCAATGTGGATGTGATTGGCCACTTGATACAGAAACATGATGAACCACTCTTAAGGAAACTGACTGATATTAAAGAAAAATATAATAACGCAAACTCTTTTACTATTGAATTTCATTTTGAGAACAACGATTACTTCACGAATAAGGTTCTCACAAAAAAATACACTTGGAGTTTTAAGCCTGATAAAAATATGTCATTACAATATGGAGGGCCTCTTATATGTAAAAGTGAAGGATGTTGCATTAATTGGAAAAAAGATATGGATATAACATTAGAAACAGTGAAGAATACTTCTATAGATGACACCAATGAAATGGTATTTAAAAATATTCCACGCCTTTCTTTTTTCCATTTTTTCAAGTCACCGTTTGTACAAGAATCAGAATCCATTGATAATGATATGAAGGAGATCTTAAATATGGATTATGATTTAGGCCTAATGCTTCGTTCACGTATCATACCTAGAGCTGTTTTATATTTCACCGGTGAACTGTCTGAATTTAATCGATCGTCAGATTATAAAGATCAGTCAGAAAATGATGACTCAGATGATTGGGATGATTCAAATGAATCACATAGTTCAAATGAAGAGGACGCTGCTGGAAGTGCATCTGCTACTACTTTCGGTGGTGTTTGATTTGGTGAAACCCATTTTTATTTTATTAAACATCTTTTGTTTCAATAATATTTTCAATAGAATAAAGAGCATTTATAATGTTTGTTTTTTTTTCAAGAAGACGTGTATTGAGTAAATGAATATCATTGCTGCAAGCAATAATAATGCAAGTATAACTATATATAAATATATTTAAATTGGATGAAATTAAAGTGTTTTTTATTCGGATATATCGACAGAGAAATTTTAAAATTTTAATCCTCTGTGGACTCGGTTAAGTGCATCGATCACATAATTGTGCAAAGACGTACTGCTGAGGCAGTAGCCTTACTAGTAATTTTTGGTGAAAATTATCTGTGTATCATGCACCATTTTTCTTCTCCGTTGCTTTTCTTCAACAAAAACACAAATTTTTTCATTATTTTCTAGTTTGCGAAAAGCTAACACAATCGATATTTTATGGAACATAGGCAGTGAACGTATGAAGAGTTGTTGTTATTTTGAACATGATGAAATAATGTAAGTATCTAAAGTCTTTTAAAATTATATTAAGAAGAACACAGCATTTTCAGTGTTTATTAGTACTCCTTTACTATACTGAAAAGGTCAGTTTCTGTTTTTGAGTGGCAGCTTATTTGTCACTGTATTAACCCATTTCATTTTACGAGTATTTTTATTTAAATTGATTTAAAATTGTTAACGTCCATGCAAATTTATTTTTTCTTCAAGGCGTAAATGCTATTTCCTCGCCCTCAATTCACACTTTCCGTACTATTTGAAATATCAATATTTCACTTACACTAATTGCAAAAGTACACAACGCAAAACGGATCAAATTAATTATTCGATAGAATTTTCCTTATCGTAGCCAAAGGGCAGAACACTGTTAACTCCAATGTTAATTCGACAAAAACAACGAGGAAAACCTATAAAAAAAATGCGCGGAAAATATATAATGAAAATGAGCTGAAGAGCGGCAAAAAGGAATTAACTTTAACTTGCCAATTTTCCCAACAATGTTGCTACATTAGAGGATGCCATTGAATATGTCTAAATGACTGAGTGACTGACATTTACGGACAACAACATTGCCAGACTTGTAGGATTGTAGCCATGGATGCACATTAGTCAATCACATAAGCAAACTGACATATTGTAGGGAATATTTGTATTATAAGCTGATGTGTATGTGTGTGTGAATTTATAAGTATTTATATGGAAAAGTAAGTTTGCAATTATACTAAAAACCCCCGAAATATAAGCGCATAACATACTTACGTGCATATATAATATAAACACCTATTATGTTATAAACACGCAAAGTAACCCAACAAGAAATTTTCTTCGAAGCTCCTTTCTACACCGGTTTCTCTAAAGAACCCTAAGTTATAACACACATATGATTTAATGACTATATTCTTATATAAATAAATAAATTCTAACCACAATTAATACTTGCTAGTGAAAATATTGGTCCCACCGGCCTAGAGAAGCTAGATTTTTACAGTCTTATTTTTATGGCATAAAACAATTTAAGTGCTGTCTTTTTCATACGAGCCAGTCTCATAAAATTTGTATATATCGTTGTTTCATTTATTCCAATATTCCTAATAAGAATAATAAATATTCTTAATAAATAAATAAAGTCTTGATGAATATTCTTGATAATTTAATTATTTATAAATAAATAATAAATTAAAATTTATTCAATTTTTTCTAAACATACTTTATAATCTGGATTTCCCAAAAATAAAAAAAAATACATGCGATTATCCATGATTATTATCAACAGTTCTGTAGCATTCATAATTTATATAAAATGTAGACAGCAACACATGAGCCCGATTCCTTTCTCCGGAATCTGTGAAGGTTGTTTGGCAATATTTGTTACGGACTTGATCAGTCAGCACTTGGTTTTAAAACATCTTTAACTTTTTATTGACAATTTTTATAAAAGTTGTAACAATCACAGTTTTATCATTGTCTTAATTCCATACAGTTTGGATTAAGAACATAGCAACCTCTATTTGAATCCAAAACAGCTCCAGTACTATGCTGATATGCTCAACATCAATTAAGTAGTTTGTGTCGGAGTTACTGTATCCAAGACCAACATTTCGTTGACACTAAGTCCACATCATAGTCTCTTTTAGTCCACTGAGATCTGCTCTCAGATCATCTTTATTAACGAGTACTCCAGTAGCAAGTAAATTTGAGGTAAGTGAGTTGAGTACTATACTCTGCATAAGTCATGCCGCGTACAAAGAATTTTCCTTATTTAATGATTAAAAATTATAACAAATAAAAAATTAATAAAATGATAATAAAATGTTAATGAGTACAACATAAAACAATTTTAATTAATAATTTTTTTTATCAAAAATTTAGGATATAAGCTTGTGTAACTTACAAAATTTAAAATAGACCCGCATGAATCGAGGAATATTACTTATAAAAATATATTTTTAACAACAACAATAAAAAAGTTTTGACCGATTAGCCTATAAAAAAATAAACACTTATATAAAAATATATATATTAATTTACAATTATTACATTATGAATTTTTAATAAGGTGAGCATTTGATTAAATTACTCAAATTATTTCAAACACACCCCACCCTCAACCCGAAATAATTTTTTGACTTGGAGTCAGGCGTAAAACCATCAGAAACCTTTAAAAATACTAAAAATGCTTAGAGAAAGAAGTTCATGCAAAAGACGAAGAACCTGTATAAAGTAAAGATCCTCTGGCGTGTTAGATCGAAGTTAAAGATACTCTGGAGAGTAGAAAGTACTTTTTATCACTTCCTTACATTAGTTATCAGTGTCATAAGAATCATTAAAAGGAAGATTCAATCTTCAACCTGATCGGACAGTGTACGATTTTTTCAAAAAGTTTATTTTTTGTGGTTTTATGAAAAACTGATTTGTTAGTTTTCCATGATTTTTCCCAAACGAAACCAATAGCCAAATTTACTATTGCTATTTATAAAAAGTTATCTGTCTTACAAATATCCGCTCCAAATTCATTGGCGAACTCATACTATAGTCTTAAAATGTGAAAGTCGGGATTAACAACATTACCTCACACTTTTTGAATTTCGTAGGTGTAACAAAATCATGCGATAAAATTTTGGTACAATGATTTCAAGACAAGAGTGCTTCGATCAAATTATTTTCACATTTGACGATGAAGCTAAATCCGTTGCCGCTGTAAAATGGTGATAAAATGATTTTAATCGTGGTCGCAGTTCGGTCACAGACGAAATTCGTAAAGTCCGTTGTTGTTACAAAAACCATTGATCTTGTGTAAAAATTGCTAATGCAAGATCGTCATGCGATATACTGTAATAGAACCCTAAGCATTAGATCCTCTAGCATATCAGCATATATAAAATATTGCAGAGAAAAGTTTGTTCTCGTTGGACCCCTTTATTCCATATCAATTGATAAAATTTCAAAAATATTCTTGTGTCAATTGGTGCACCATACACAGGAAGTATAATGGAGATGCGGTACTTCAAAAGACGTATACGAGTATAAGATTGTAACAAATGACGGTGACGGTGAGACGTAAACAGCAGTCGACTGTACAACAAAAGTTGTTCGCACTCGAAGCACTTTGAAACAAATAATCGAAGTGCTTGTTTTTTCGGGAAAATTGGTCTTGTGGCAGCTATATAGACACCAATACCGGAATGTAAAACAATCAATTCTGAATGGTATGTAATTATTTGTTACAAACAACCGAATGTCTTCAATTAAATACGGAATCATTAATTAAATACGAAACACGCACCGTTGGATCATATTCCATCTCCATCAAGGCAATGCGAGTGCACATATATACATCTCGCCAGAAATCGAATTGATGAGCCATCCGCTGTACAGTCCAGATTTGACACCCAATGACTTCTTGTTGTTCCAAAACTTCAAGAATGAATTGTGTGTACAACAATTTTTCCGAGCGGAAGCAACAACAAAGCCGTTATTGCATTTAAAAACCATGTTTTAGAGGTGTCTGAAGAAGATTGCAAAAAATGCTCTTACAAATCGTTCCAATATATGCAAAAGTGTGCGAGTATTAATCATAAAGGACAAAACTTAGAAAAACAATAAAGCAATTTTCAACGACTGGTTAATATTTCTTGATTATTAAGCTCAAAATGGTGACCCTCGTATAGTCGGAATTTCGTCTTTATATTAGCAATAACATGCAATGGCAGAATAACTGCTATTAAATAAAAAAAAAATTAACTAATGATGTTTTTTTACCAAACTTAGTATTCATAGTTATCAAAGTTTTCAAATATAGAAAACTCATCCGCAGTTAAATCAAGAAATTTTACAAAACTCATTGTAGCTCTAACTTTTTCAAATATTTTCACATGAAATAAATGCATTGCATTTGCCTCGTGATATCAGCGCCATTGGAAACGCATTTATGTCATTATACAAGAGTAGGTAAGCAAATACTAATGCTTACCGGGTCATCAGACAAAGCCGCACTCACTCACCGACAAAGCAAACAGCTACTCCAATCAGCCATAGCCAAAACCACAGAGTGAAATTCACAATAAACATATCAATCTTAATTAAGATTTTACTTTTTAGTTAAACTCCGAAGAACTATGTGTATTCCTAAAAGTGGGTGTGGTTGAGTTTGGTTCGTTTGTGGGTGCTTTACTAGCTATGCTATGTAGGTATAAATATGCGAGTTAGCATAAGCAGAAAGCAACTGCGATATACATTTTGGGTAGCAGTGAGCATGGAGCAGGGTCGGAAATGGCAGCATTGTAATGTCAATAACTGTAGTAATGGCAGTTCTGGCTGCAGTGGTTGTATTAAAATGGCCAAGTTAAGTAGTTGTGGCAGCGGTGAAGAGCATTTAACATTCGAAGCAACAAGAAGTGGAAAAGTTTATAAAATCGATTGTCGACCAATTGCCAGTGAAGTGATGTGTTATGTCGAAATTCCTACAACAATGAGTAAAATGTTATTTTGGTAATATTATTTACTTCATTTTATTTTACATCATTTATTTATTTATTCTTTTTTCAGTCAATTCCTTTGTTTTGT